CACAGAAGTCCAGATGTCCTCTAGATGCCAAATTATCTGCAACTACACATTTCATCAGCACCAAGAGATCATTTGACAACAGCTCTGTAAGGGGCTGTGGATGCTTTTTGGAAATACACAGTACATTAGGAGTCAGAAGAAAAATTCAATAGCTTGTATGAAGTGATGCAACATCTTAGCTGGAACAGATCTGTGGACCAGGGGAATAAACATTTGCTCTGTAAGCCTCAGGACTCCCACTGCTTGTGACATTGGGACATAAAGTCCTGCAGACGACCGAAAACTGATATTGTTCACATCCTGCTTGTTAAATAATAATACTACTAATAAAAAAAAATCAGGGCAGGATCTCATATTTTCTCATCTTTGTTTGCCCTCTAGAAGTTCCTTTGGAAAAGAGGAGCTGCAGGAAAGCTGCACACTGAGAAGGCACTCTGGATTCTTCCTTCAGCTGGGGCAAGGCAAGACCTTTGTGCTGTGCATCTTCTTGAAAAATCTCTCCAGCTAACAGCAAGAACAGTCTTGTTCTCCATTTCCCCTCCATCCCCTCCTAATTACCTGAGAGCCAAATGTATACAGGTATTTTAATTGAACAACCAATGTTCATATAAACTGCAGCTTAGGTCATCAAAGGTTTGAAAGAGCCCAAATTACTTAACTTCCTCAACTATGCACTTGTTCCCACATGTGTATGACAGTGAGGAGGAAACAGCTCTGAAGAAAACAGGAAAAGTTCAAACATGCACACAGTGCCTGGCAAGAGCTTATTTTTAAAGCTTTCCCACATGAAAGAACCTAAGCAATCAAAGCAAGTAAAAACAGAGTTTATACTATTAAAATATGGCTAATTATGTAGGTTAGAACCAACTTAGAAATAATTTCTAAAACATGACAGTTTTTGAGACTGGCATATAACAGAAATTGTTGCTTCTAGAGGCTCTAAGGGAAGAACAAAACCAGTGACAAAGTCAGGAGTGTTAAACAGCCAACCCAGATACTGCCCTGGCTTTCCCAGTCCTTGGAGTAGAAGGATCTCTCTCCTTTGCATGTCACCATAAATAATAAGAGATTAGTCTTCACAATTACACCTGGAAATGGAGGGAGGGGTTAGGTGACAGAGATTTGTGGGCTTG